CCTATATTTTTGACATTTTATTTGGGTATCTCACTTATCAGAGGGGAAGGGGGGGTTAAATCTAGGTTTATTTGACGTCTTTTCTATCACTCTTCGATATTCTATTACAATTTAAGTGAAACAATACCTTGAAGTGTGAGAAAATTGAAAAAATCCTATTTTTTTGACATTTTATTTGGGTATCTTCCTTATCAGAGGGGGAGGGGGGTTAAATCTAGGTTTATTTGACGTCTTTTCAATCACTCTTCGATATTCTATTACAATTTAAGTGAAACAATACCTTGAAGTGTGAGAAAATTGAAAAAATCCTATTTTTTTGACATTTTATGTGGGTATCTCCCTTATCAGAGGGGGTAGGGGGGGTTAAATCTAGGTTCATTTGACGTCTTTTTAATCACTCTTCGACATTCTATTACAATTTAAGTGAAACAATACCTTGAAGTTTGAGAAAATTGAAAAAATCCTATTTTTTTTGAAATTTTATTTGGGTATTTCTCTTATCAGAGGGGAAGGGGGGTTAAATCTAGGTTCATTTGACGTCTTTTCAATCACTCTTCGATATTCTATTACAATTTAAGTGAAACAATACCTTGAAGTTTGAAAAAATTGAAAAAAATCCTATATTTTTGACATTTTATTTGGGTATCTCACTTATCAGAGGGGAAGGGGGGTTAAATCTAGGTTCATTTGACGTCTTTTTAATCACTCTTCGACATTCTATTACAATTTAAGTGAAACAATACCTTGAAGTGTGAGAAAATTGAAAAAATCCTATTTTTTTGACATTTTATGTGGGTATCTCCCTTATCAGAGGGGTAGGGGGGGTTAAATCTAGGTTCATTTGACGTCTTTTTAATCACTCTTCGACATTCTATTACAATTTAAGTGAAACAATACCTTGAAGTTTGAGAAAATTGAAAAAATCCTATTTTTTTGAAATTTTATTTGGGTATTTCTCTTATCAGAGGGGAAGGGGGGTTAAATCTAGGTTCATTTGACGTCTTTTCAATCACTCTTCGATATTCTATTACAATTTAAGTGAAAACAATACCTTGAAGTGTGAGAAAATTGAAAAAATCCTATTTTTTTGACATTTTATGTGGGTATCTCCCTTATCAGAGGGGGAGGGGGGTTAAATCTAGGTTTATTTGACGTCTTTTCAATCACTCTTCGATATTCTATTACAATTTAAGTGAAACAATACCTTGAAGTGTGAGAAAATTGAAAAAATCCTATTTTTTTGACATTTTATGTGGGTATCTCCCTTATCAGAGGGGTAGGGGGGTTAAATCTAGGCTCATTTGACGTCTTTTTCAATCACTCTTCGATATTCTATTACAATTTAAGTGAAACAATACCTTGAAGTGTGAGAAAATTGAAAAAATCCTATTTTTTGACATTTTATTTGGGTATCTTCCTTATCAGAGGGGGAAGGGGGGTTAAATCTAGGTTTATTTGACGTCTTTTCAATCACTCTTCGATATTCTATCACAATTTAAGTGAAACAATACCTTGAAGTTTGAAAAAATTGAAAAAAAATCCTATATTTTTGACATTTTATTTGGGGTATCTCACTTATCAGAGGGGAAGGGGGGGGTTAAATCTAGGTTCATTTGACGTCTTTTTAATCACTCTTCGACATTCTATTACAATTTAAGTGAAACAATACCTTGAAGTGTGAGAAAATTGAAAAAATCCTATTTTTTTTGACATTTTATGTGGGTATCTCCCTTATCAGAGGGGTAGGGGGGTTAAATCTAGGTTCATTTGACGTCTTTTAATCACTCTTCGACATTCTATTACAATTTAAGTGAAACAATACCTTGAAGTTTGAGAAAATTGAAAAAATCCTATTTTTTTGAAATTTTATTTGGGTATTTCTCTTATCAGAGGGGAAGGGGGGTTAAATCTAGGTTCATTTGACGTCTTTTCAATCACTCTTCGATATTCTATTACAATTTAAGTGAAACAATACCTTGAAGTTTGAGAAAATTGAAAAAAATCCTATTTTTTTGACATTTTATGTGGGTATCTCCCTTATCAGAGGGGGAGGGGGGTTAAATCTAGGTTTATTTGACGTCTTTTCAATCACTCTTCGATATTCTATTACAATTTAAGTGAAACAATACCTTGAAGTGTGAGAAAATTGAAAAAATCCTATTTTTTTGACATTTTATGTGGGTATCTCCCTTATCAGAGGGGTAGGGGGGTTAAATCTAGGCTCATTTGACGTCTTTTCAATCACTCTTCGATATTCTATTACAATTTAAGTGAAACAATACCTTGAAGTGTGAGAAAATTGAAAAAATCCTATTTTTTGACATTTTATTTGGGTATCTTCCTTATCAGAGGGGAAGGGGGGTTAAATCTAGGTTTATTTGACGTCTTTTCAATCACTCTTCGATATTCTATCACAATTTAAGTGAAACAATACCTTGAAGTTTGAAAAAATTGAAAAAAATCCTATATTTTTGACATTTTATTTGGGTATCTCACTTATCAGAGGGGAAGGGGGGGTTAAATCTAGGTTTATTTGACGTCTTCTCAATCACTCTTCGATATTCTATTACAATTTAAGTGAAACAATACCTTGAAGTGTGAGAAAATTGAAAAAATCCTATTTTTTTGACATTTTATTTGGGTATCTTCCTTATCAGAGGGGGAGGGGGGTTAAATCTAGGTTTATTTGACGTCTTTTCAATCACTCTTCGATATTCTATTACAATTTAAGTGAAACAATACCTTGAAGTGTGAGAAAATTGAAAAAATCCTATTTTTTTGACATTTTATGTGGGTATCTCCCTTATCAGAGGGGTAGGGGGGTTAAATCTAGGCTCATTTGACGTCTTTTCAATCACTCTTCGATATTCTATTACAATTTAAGTGAAACAATACCTTGAAGTGTGAGAAAATTGAAAAAATCCTATTTTTGACATTTTATTTGGGTATCTTCCTTATCAGAGGGGAAGGGGGGTTAAATCTAGGTTTATTTGACGTCTTTTCAATCACTCTTCGATATTCTATCACAATTTAAGTGAAACAATACTTGAAGTTTGAAAAAATTGAAAAAAATCCTATATTTTTGACATTTTATTTGGGTATCTCACTTATCAGAGGGGAAGGGGGGTTAAATCTAGGTTCATTTGACGTCTTTTTAATCACTCTTCGACATTCTATTACAATTTAAGTGAAACAATACCTTGAAGTGTGAGAAAATTGAAAAAATCCTATTTTTTTGACATTTTATGTGGGTATCTCCCTTATCAGAGGGGTAGGGGGGTTAAATCTAGGTTCATTTGACGTCTTTTTAATCACTCTTCGACATTCTATTACAATTTAAGTGAAACAATACCTTGAAGTTTGAGAAAATTGAAAAAATCCTATTTTTTTGAAATTTTATTTGGGTATTTCTCTTATCAGAGGGGAAGGGGGGTTAAATCTAGGTTCATTTGACGTCTTTTCAATCACTCTTCGATATTCTATTACAATTTAAGTGAAACAATACCTTGAAGTGTGAGAAAATTGAAAAAATCCTATTTTTTTGACATTTTATGTGGGTATCTCCCTTATCAGAGGGGGAGGGGGGTTAAATCTAGGTTTATTTGACGTCTTTTCAATCACTCTTCGATATTCTATTACAATTTAAGTGAAACAATACCTTGAAGTGTGAGAAAATTGAAAAAATCCTATTTTTTTGACATTTTATGTGGGTATCTCCCTTATCAGAGGGGTAGGGGGGTTAAATCTAGGCTCATTTGACGTCTTTTTCAATCACTCTTCGATATTCTATTACAATTTAAGTGAAACAATACCTTGAAGTGTGAGAAAATTGAAAAAATCCTATTTTTTGACATTTTATTTGGGTATCTTCCTTATCAGAGGGGAAGGGGGGTTAAATCTAGGTTTATTTGACGTCTTTTCAATCACTCTTCGATATTCTATCACAATTTAAGTGAAACAATACCTTGAAGTTTGAAAAAATTGAAAAAAATCCTATATTTTTGACATTTTATTTGGGTATCTCACTTATCAGAGGGGAAGGGGGGTTAAATCTAGGTTTATTTGACGTCTTTTCAATCACTCTTCGATATTCTATTACAATTTAAGTGAAACAATACCTTGAAGTGTGAGAAAATTGAAAAAATCCTATTTTTTTGACATTTTATTTGGGTATCTTCCTTATCAGAGGGGGAGGGGGGTTAAATCTAGGTTTATTTGACGTCTTTTCAATCACTCTTCGATATTCTATTACAATTTAAGTGAAACAATACCTTGAAGTGTGAGAAAATTGAAAAAATCCTATTTTTTTGACATTTTATGTGGGTAACTCCCTTATCAGAGGGGTAGGGGGGTTAAATCTAGGCTCATTTGACGTCTTTTCAATCACTCTTCGATATTCTATTACAATTTAAGTGAAAATACCTTGAAGTGTGAGAAAATTGAAAAAATCCTAGTTTTTTGACATTTTATGTGGGTATCTCCCTTATCAGAGGGGTAGGG